ACACAGGGTCTCGTTATGTAGTTCAGACTGGTGTTGAGCTCACTTTGTAGCCTAGGTTGGTCTTGAACTCGCAACAATCCTCCTGCCTCAGCCTCTCAAGTGTTGGGGTGACAGGTATGCGCTACCGCACCCAGCTTTGATGGTCTCTATTTTCCTTTCTCTTCCTTTCTTTTTCTTTTCTGCACTGAGGATTAAACTTAGGGCCTCCTGCGTGTTAGCCGAGCACTCTACCACTGAAGACATATATCCCAGCCTTTTAACAAGAATTTGAGACAAGGGCTCACCATGGTGCCCGAGGTGGTCTTGCACTCGCGATCCTCTAGCCCCAGCCTCCCATGTACCACTTCACCTAGCTGTAGCCTGCATTTCTAACCAGCTCTGCAGGGTTGCCAAGGCCACTGGACCTTCAGCCCTCAGCCCCATACGGAGTAGCAAGGCTAGTCCAGAGCAGCACTTCTGGGGGGAAGGACTTGTAAAACATGTACAGTACCGCAGTGGTGTGTTGATTTTTTTTTTTTTTACAAGAAAAAGAAATGCTATAAAAATGAAACAAAGCACCCCAGGTTTAAAGAATTATTATTAAATTTGATAGACAAGTTATGTCATCAAATGGCTCTCAAGGTTTAGAATGTTTACTCTCGTCTTTGTAACTTGTCTCTTTGGAGGGGCAGTCAGCAGTTTTCGGTCCACCTGCAGGCCTGATCCTGTCCTCCGGGAGTCCCAGCTCTTCCTAATGAGGCGGCTCCACAGTAGCAGAACTGGGGATCCTCTGCCCCAGTACTGTGGGTACCTCTCCAGGAGGGAGGAGACGATGACCCTTGCCTCTCTCTCCTATTCCAGGCAGAAACTATCGTCTACGTCATTGTGAGATGTAAGTTGGATGAGAGGGTAGCGACTGAGGCAGAATTTTCTCCTGAGAATTCTCCCTCTGTGAGGGCAGAAGCCACGCTGGAAAACGAATACACAGTTTCTGTGAAGGCTCCGGGTAAGTAATCCTGAGGCAAAAGGATCACACTGTGCTTGACTGCTGCTGAAATAGTATTACTCTGTAGCTTATTTGCAGTTCCACCGCCGACACTAGGCACTGTCACTTTAAAGAGTTTTGCTATTTTTTTTTTTGAAATTTATTTTATTTGAGTTTTGCTATTTTGATGTTTGTAAAAAAAAAAAAAAAACCTGTCCTTTATTTAAATTTGCATTTCCTTGAATGCTAGCGAGGCTGAATGTTTTTCCATGTTCTCTACTTACTGCATTTCCTCTTTTGTGAATTGAATCTTTGTGGTTGGTATATTGCTAATTTTTTCTTTCCCCTTCAAACCCCTTCCGGTGGTGGAGAATCCTGCCCCAGGGAGAGCACGTAGCAGTAACAGCAGCAGAGCAGGTCAGCTGGCTCCGGGGGCCCAGAGTAGCAGAACTCAGTCTCACCTCCCAGGACCCTCACCTTTAGCAAGTGCTGCATTTTATGTCATGCAGCAAAGCCAGGTTTTCTCCTGTTCCGTGAGTCCCAGGCCCGCAAAAGCAAAACAGGTGGAAATCTCTGAAGAATGAAATTGCAGACCTGAGGATGACAGCTGCTGTGACCCCAGGCCCCCCATGGGCTGGTCATTCCCCTGCTTCCTTCCCTCCCCAGCTCACCTCCAAGGGCTCCCTCAGGGCCTTTCTTCAGCATTCAGATGCAGCCGCCTGCCTATGATCACCACGCTCTTCCTGGGCATTTTATAGTATCTTTTCTTCTGTTCAGATCTTTCACCTGGGAATGTGTGTCTGAAGATATATTCCGGGGACTTAGTGGTATGTGAAACCACTATCAGTTATTATACTGACATGGAAGAAATCGGGAATTTACTGTCTAGTGCAGCAAATCCAGTGGAGTTTATGTGTCAGGTAAGGCTGCTGCGTGGAGACCCACGCTTTCTGGAAAGGTGATTTCACTTGTAGCTTTTCAGCCTTCAGTCTGCTGGGAAGGAAATGGCCCGATTTAAAATCTATCTTTTTGTATTCAGGCTTTTAAAATTGTGCCCTACAACACAGACACCCTCGATAAACTGCTAACGGAGTCCCTGAAGAACAACATTCCTGCGAGTGGACTGCACCTTTTTGGAATCAACCAGCTAGAAGAAGAAGATATGATGACAAGTAGGTCAGCAGTCATGTGAGACCCTCAGCAGGCCGACTGCAGCCTGCCCGCTTGGGCTGCAGTCAGCACCCTGCTCTACAGCCCATCCTTTGAGAAGGACTTGCGCCTCACTGTGTGGCCAGAGATTTTCTCAGTTGCAAATCTGAATATAGTCATACATTGCTTAATAATGGGGCTGTCTTCTAAAATATACATAGGTGATTTCGTCATTATATGAGCCTCGTAGAGTGTATTATAAACCGAGGTGTTATAGGCTGCTAGCCACCTGGGTTGTATGGTATATACGCCACCTATGTCTATATATGTGATATGCATCATATAGATGGGGTGTGTGTGTGTGTGTGCGTGTGTGTGTGTGTGTGCGTGTGTGTGTGTGTAGCTATGTCATAACGTATTGCTCCTAGAGCCAAGAGGAGCAAAAATTAAATGAGGCAGAAAAGAAAGCGATGCAATCAAGAGATTCCGTAAACAGTGTGTGTGAGGCTGCTGCCTGCTTAACACAGCGAACTGACTTATAGCAGGTTGTTTTAATAAATAGAAGGAGTACAGTCTAAAATAATGATAAAAAGTAGAGTGTGGCAAGTATGTTAGCCAAGAGCACGGTCGCTTATTGTCATCAAGTGCTCCACACCGTGCCTGGTTACGTGGGCTGCCCTTTTGTAGAGTTGTTCACGGCAGCAGCATCACAAGCACACAAGTACTACAGTGCCTCGAGCCGTGGCGCTTCAGTGGCTACGGTGTCACCACGGGTCAGGAGCTTTTCAGGTTCGCTCTGATCTTACAGGTGCCCTGTTTGTGACGGAAAGTCATTATGGGCACACAACTGCACCTCATCCCCTTTGAAAACGTAGCTCAGTGGACTAAGTGCCTGCCTAAGCAAGCGCAGGGACCGGGTTCGATCCCCGGCACCACATGCGGCGCTAGCCCCACTCCCAGGTGCACTGCACTGGCCACGGAGGCCTGGCGTGGTGGGCGCACCTGTAATCCCAGCGCTGGGGAGGCTGAAGACACAAGTCAGAGCTGCGTAGGGAAGACTGTATCAAATACATAAACAAAACCAAACCCAGGGCTGGGGAGATGGCTCAGTGGAATAAGTGCTTCCCTGGCAAGTGCAAGGGCCTGAGTTCAATCCCTGGTTCCGCAAAAACAAAACAAAACAAAACAAAAAAAACCAAAACCAAACCCATGGGGTTCGCACTTAGCTTCCTGATGAGGTTAAGCCTTCCTAGCCTGCTGTCAAGCCTCTCCCAAGGGGCCCTGCGTGGTTCTGCCTTTGCCTCTCCCCGCACTGCCTCTTGGGCACTGCCAGTGTGCTGCTCTGCACTGTACCTCTCTCTGTCTTGCTCCGCCAGTTGTGGGAATGCAGTCTCTTAGTTCTTGCCTCAGGTGCCACTCACCTGGCTAACTTTGCTTCACCTCCCTGCAACAGCTTAGATGTCACCTCCTCTAGAAGGATTTCTCCAAACCTCCCGCTGTGGTCTCCCCTAAATTGCTGGGGCCTCTGTCATATTGCTTGCCTGCTGTATGTGTCTTCTTTACTTGGCTGTCAGCTCAGCAAAGGGTGGCTGGCTCTTGGTGGGCTCTAAAGAAATATTTGTCCTGTGAGGCAAGAGTAGGCCCTTATGCACATGAATGTGCTGGGAGCTGGAGGCTCACATTGCTTGTACTGGGCTTGTGCCCAGTGCTCTAGACAGGATGCCTTTGTAGTGTTTCTGGGGACACCACTCTTCTTTCACACTGTGGTGGCCCTGCCAAAGGAGACCCAAGTCTCTGAGGACCTCCTCCTCCTGTTTCACCTTTTCTTAGCCTAAGAATCATCAGATGAGGCTAAGTCTCATTTGGAGCCTCCTTCTGGGGCATTTGCTTTCTTGCTTCTCCCTGTTTTCCTACTGTGGAGTGTTCCTGCCTCATTTCTGGTAAATGTTACTATTTTTTTAAAACTAGGGGCTCAAGAAAGGGTATCTCATAGCCTGACCATGGGAGACCCTAGGGACCTATTCAGGCCCATCTTCCCAAGGATTATATTTGATAAATATGATGCTCAGTTTATCATAACATATGCATGTGTACATACACTTACACATACACATATGCTTTTATGTATAATACATTATATATAGGATTGTTGGGCCTAGAGATTGGCTTCTATGAAAAAAGTTGTGCTTCGATTCCACAACTCAAATGTGAATTTTCTTGGTATATACTTTTTGTTAAGTTGAGAATAAGAGCTAGCTGGATAGGCTTCTTAGTGCATAAAAAATAGTTCCAGGGTGCTGAGAAGGACAAAACCTGATTCCTGTTGCACTTTGTGCTTACTCTAATCCTTTAGAAACTGGCACCTTTCTCAGCTAGGGCTGTACCGCAGTGTTAGAACACTTGCCCAGGATTTGTGAGGTTCTGGCCTCAATGTCCACCAGTACAAAAATGAAAAATAAAAAATTAGAAACCAGCTTCTTTTGAATTATTACTATTTCTAAGGCTTTTCTAAAGGAAGTTGTAAGGTTACAAGGCAGTTAACCAGTACATGATGACTGAGTGCCTACTCAATCCATGCTGGGCTTTGCAGTTTCATCTCTTTGAACAAGAATATTCTGTGCCTTTATTCTTATTTGTCAGCTAAATTCTTTTGTGTGTGTGTGTGTGTGTGTGTGTGTGTGTGTGTGGCTGGCTCAGCCCACCAGGGGGCAGGGCTGGTGCAGCATGTGGTGCGGGGGATTGAACCTCGGTCCCTGTGCTTGTCTAAGCTTGCCCAAGCAGGTGCTTTAGTCTGCTGAGCTATCTTGTTGGCCCCTGTCCGCTACATTCTGGCCTTTTTTCAGATCAGAGGAATGAAGAGCTGCCGACCTTGCTGCACTTTGCTGCGAAGTATGGGCTGAAGAACCTCACTGCTTTGCTGCTCACCTGCCCGGGGGCCCTGCAGGCGTACAGCGTGGCCAACAAGCACGGCCACTACCCCAACACCATCGCCGAGAAGCACGGCTTCAGGGACCTCCGGCAGTTCATCGATGAATATGTGGTAAGGTCAAGGCAAGAAACTGTGATTGGGAATGTATTATGTGGCTCTAGAGCTGTCTTTTCACCAAAGATACAGAAAAGTTTCATCTCTGGTATGTCCTCAGGTGTCTTGGTTACTTTTCTCTTGTTGCTGGGATGAAATACCCAATACCCAGAATTAAGGAAGGAAAGGTTTATGTTAGCTCACAGTTTGTGGAGGTTTCAGTCCATACTCAGCTGGCTCCAGGGCAGAGTGGCACATGGCAGAGGGCAGCAGTTCACGGTGGTGGAAAACAGCAAAGAGCAAAGAGAAGAGCAGCAGCTGCAGCAGCTAGCGAGCCCCTCTCCCTTCTGTTTATTGCATCCAGGCCGTCTCAGGGCGGGTGGAGCACTCACACCCATAATCCCAGCCCTAGAAGCCTGCCCCAGTGACTACATGAGGCTTTGGGGGAACAATGAGATGCAAATCATAACATCATGTTATGATGTTATGAGTGTGGTAGAGTGTGTGGGCTTATGACATGAACCCAACTGTAGTCACACAGACTGGAAAACCACGTGGCTGCAGGCGAGCCATGTATATTCTGTCTCTTGGTTTCTTAATATGCAAAAGGAAGGTCATAATAGTCCTGCTCACTGAG